TGCTGGAGCTCTGCCCAGATCTCCTGTACAGCCAGCTCACCCATTGCCTGGCTGCTGTGAGTGATGGCTACTAGTGGCTCACAGTTGCCCTCTTCTGAAGGGAATCCTCTCCCCACCCTCCAGTCTGTGACATACCACAGCCAACACAGGGGTAAAAGGTTGGACGACTCTGTGATGCAATTCACTCTTCTGTGCTTCCCGTGGGATCCAGCTAAAGCTGATGTCCATTCAGACCATCTCTTTGCTTAGCTTCCCCCCCTCCCCTTGCCCCATTCTCCCACTCCCACAGCCCCTCCTAAAAGCACAAGAATCCCTGTCTAACTCTTTGATTCTAGAAATCCTGATGCCAGACCCATATTTACCTTCCCTTACCTTGACATTTCCAGTTATTGATTCCTTGGAAAGGATACCATATCTGTACATATGGATCTGCCACATTCTTTTAACAGCCACATACTATTCCATTAAATGGATTTACCATAATTAATTTAGCACATTTCCAGCACAATCATTTCCAAAATTTCTCTCTGGGAACTTAAAAAATTCAATTTTTACACATTTAAATGTGATTACTGCCTTGCCATATTTTAAGTATCTAGTTAGTTGCTGAGAAGCCTTTCTTCAACTTCATTAGCTATAAAACTTTAGTCCTTTGCTATTTTTTGGAATAAAGCTTTATTCTCAGGGCAATTTATCTTTAAATTTGACAAGCTATAAAGATTCAGCTGGCCCTTCCATCTCCCAGTCCCCACAGCCAAAGCATATTCGCACCCAATCAAGGACCCTTCTCCATTCTAAACAGCGAAAAAGTAGGAGCTGCAAACACGGACCCTCAAATCACTGGGCATCGATGCCTTCCTCCCCACCAGTGAGAGAAGCAGGCACCTCTTGAGTCTGGTAGGAACCCCCAGGCCCCTTGCCGTCTCACACATGACTCCCCACAGCAAACACCCATTCCCAAGGACAGCACAGTCTAAACCCACAAGGGGACAAGAAGCAGTTCCTCTCTGCATCCCCAAGAAAGGTGGATTTGTTCCCCCCCACCTCCCACCTCCCCATTCCTCTCCTCCCTCACCACCCCACACCATCCCTACAACCGCCCCCATCCCACCCCACCCCAGTGACACTTGTTTCTGCTTTTATATGAGGTCGAACTGTGCCTTCTGAAGAGACTTCCTCTATGCAGGAATTTCCCATAATCTCTGTTCCACTTCCCCAAGATTGAAACCAGAACTCTTCCCACCTAGCAGCTGCTCACAGTGTGCACGGTGATTAAACCAAGAGCAGAGCAACACGAGGAAGCAGGTGCCACCAGGAAGCCATTTTCTAGCGAGGAAGGAAGAGAGGGACTGGGAGCGGGATCTGGAGACCCCCAAGCTCGATTTCACTCAAAATCAGGGAAATGCAAAACAAATGAAGAGAAACATTTTTTTCTACCTATCAGACTGGCAAAGGTGGAAATGTCCAATGAACTACATTAGTGTGAACGTGGGAAAACACGCTGCCAGTGGGAGAATAAACAGGTACAACCTCCATGGAGAGAACCGGACCATAAACTATCCAGTGTGAAATGCAAAACCCCTGACCCAGCAATTTCACTAATTGGAACTTATCCTATAGATCAGAGTCCAGCACACCTTTTCTTTAAAAGCCCAGGTAGTAAGTATTTTGGGCTTCCACGCCATGTATTTCTGTTGCAATTACTCACCCCTGCTGTTGTAGCATGAAAGCAGCCACAGGCAATATGTAAACAGACAGGCATGGCTGTGTGCCAATAAAACTTTATTTACAAAAACAAATGGCAGTTTGAAATTGTCCCACGGGCTACAAATTGCCAACCTCTGCCAGGTTTTCTAGCATGTACAGACAAAAACATGTATATTATATTCTTCATAGCAACAACCTAAGAATGGAAGCCACCTTGATGTCCACCAAGAGAGGCCTGGATAAGTAAATTTGACTACATCCTTCCAGTGGAATACTTGCAGCCAGTAAGAAGGAGGCAGCTCTATGTGTACTGATAAGGGTGATACCCAAAATATATCAATTTTTTAATGCAAGGTGGAGAACAGGGTACCATATGCTTCCATTTTTTATTTAAAATGTATACGTTTGGGGTGCCTGGGTGGTTCAGTCAATTGACCATCCAACTTCAGCTCAGGTCATGATCTCACAGGTTGTGAGTTTGAGCCCCATGTCAGCACAGAGCCTGCTTCAGATACTCTCTCTCTCTCTCTCTCTCTCTCTCTCTCTCTCTCTCAAATAAACATTTTAAAAAATCTTTAAAAATATTTATACATGTGGGGGCGCCTGGATGCCTCAGTCGGTTAAGCATCTGACTTAGACTCAGGTAGTAATCTCATGGTTGGTGAGTTCGAGTACCGAATCAGGTGAGCTTCAGCCCTGCCTGGGGTAAAACATGAGCTCCGCCTCTCTCTCTCCCTCTCTCTCTCTCTCTCTCTCCTCCTCCTCCTCTCCCCCCCCCCTTTCTCTCTCTCTCTCCCTCTCTGCCCCTTGTGGGATTCTCTCTCTCCCTCTCTCTCTCTGCCCCTCACTCACTTGTGCCCTGTCTCTCTCTTTCTCTCTCTCTCTCAAAAAAAGGGATATAGATATACATAGATAGATGATAGATAGATAGATAGATAGATAGATAGATAGATACACACATACTTGTATATGTATGTTTGCTTATCTAAGCATAACACATATCTGAAAGGACACACAAGAGGGTTGGGGATGAACAGGAGAATGAAGGAGACTTTTATTCACTGTCTGCCCTTTTGTGCCCTTTGAATCACATACCATGTGCTTCACCAATGAAGGACAAATAAACACAATTTAATTTTTTAATTGCATGTGCACTTATAGTACTGTTCTGGATCACCAAGTATAGACCGAAAAATAAAGTGGGGCCTCTGGGTAGCAGACCTAGCTATTTCCAAAGTCCCCTCTCATGGCCAGAGGCTATGGTGTCTGTCAAAGAGCACCATGGTGGGAATCCAGAGACCCGTCTCCAAGTCCAGCCTCTGTTACCGACTCAGTGCTGCCCTGGGCCAGTCAAACTCATTGTCCTGCCCACCCCTTTCCTCTTCTGTAAAATGATGGCAATAGTGCTTTTGAGCTATGTAATATAAAATAATATTAATGGTACTGGGGAAATCTCTTAATGCCTCTGGGCCACTTTCCTCATCTGCAAAATCAGAAAGTTGGACAAAATGAGGATTTTCACTGTCAAATGCATGATCCCATTAATACACAAAGTAGTCATTTACAAAAATTCAGGCAGAATCATGAAGTTGGCAACCTAGTAGGGATCGCTTCTTGCTTATCTCAAGGGAATGACTTCCAAATCCAAAAAAGAAAATAAGATATCTGTTTGCACATAGAGATCCAGTCCAACCTGGAGGCGGGAAATGTCCAAGGACACCACCTCTCTTTCCTTGGCCAGCAGACTCAGCAGTTGTCACATTCAGGAAACTTTTTTTTTTTTTAAGCTGCCACTGCATATAGATCATAGCCCATTGGGAAAAAATGTAGGAAATGTCACTTACAAAGAGAGATACACTATTGTGTCAAACAATAGATTCATGAGAGCTGGCAGGAGAAAGAAATGGAAGGGTCCTGCTCAGGGGAGCCATACAGGGAGGGCCCTGCCCTGTCCTGACTTCTGGCCTCTGCTAAGAGCTACCATTTGTATTGTTTCAGGAACTCCAGGGAGATGACAGGACAGTGATGAGGAAGATCAGGGCTGCACTATCCTCCCATTTCTGAGAATTTCTGGTTATTGTTAAATAAAAGTTTGGAGAAGTTAAACTGACAGGAAATAACACATGTGTTGACTTATAAGGTGGCAAATGTTGTGAAATCCTTTTTCAGAAAAGGCCAACCAGAGGAGAATGTGCCGCTGTGATAAGGAGCACAGCTCTTAAGACCATCTCAGCTGGTGAGAAGTCTCTCTGTTTTCCTTCCTCATTTCCATGAGCTCAGGAGTATACACTCAGATGCTTTGAAAAGCATCTTGCAGAGACTCTTCATGTCCCTGACTTCCAAGAACCTTTTGTTCTTGAATAAACCATTTTTGGCCCCTCAATCTTAGAACCAAAGCATCCAGTCAAATCCAAGAGATTTTAACAAATTGCAGACTCTACCTGAAAATGCAGAGAGCACAGTGGGGATATGTCCCCAGAAATGATAGGCCAGGACAGGCAGGGAGGGAATGGGAGGCCATAAGGCAGCAGAAGAAAAGGAAGGTGAGATTTCAAATGTGAATTAGAGAATTGCACTTTCTCTTTGAGTGGTGGACGAAATATTCATTGAATCAGGACATCAGGGTTTGGTGAAAAAATGGGTAGATTATGGGGCAACTAGAAAGAGGATGACAAAGAGAAAAGAAAAGAAGAAAAAAGAGAAAGTGAATTCAGTATAAGAATTTGCTATGAGAGGGGCGCCTGGGTGGCTCAGTCAGCTGAGAGTCTGACTCTTGATTTTGGCTCATGTCATGTCATGGAATCGAGCCTCGAGTTGGGCTCTGCACTGACAGCATGGAGCCTCCTTGGGATTCTCTCTCTCCTTCTCTCTTTGTCCCTCCCCTGCATTCTCTCTCTCCCTCCGCCCCCCCCTTCTCTCTCAAAATAATAAACATTAAAAAAAGAATTTGCTATGAGAAAGACAAATACCATATGATTTCACTTGTATGTGGAATCTAAAAAACAAAACAAACAAACTAGAAAGACTCACAAATACAGGGAACAAGCTGGTTCTGGTATGGGCAAAATAGGTGAAGGGGATTAAGAGGTACAAACTTCCAGATATGAATAAGTCACCCGGATGAAAATAACGTTGTGTGGTGACAGATGGTGACCACACTTACTGTGGTGAGCATCATGTAACATATAGAATTGTTGAATCACTATGTTGTACACCTGAAACTAATATAGCATTGTATAGCAACTATATTTCAAAAATGAAAATTTTTTAAAAAGAATTTGCTGTTTACTCACTTTGGGGGCTGCCTAATACAGAGAAAGTTCCTGATGGGGGACTCTGGGCTAGAACAGGCAAACCCTGATGAGAGAGAGAGAGAGAGAGAGAGAGAGAGAACATTCCAAAGAACCAGTACCCAAGGGTGTCCTACAATTTAACTCAGTTATGACACTACCCTACTGAAGATTGCATCAGATCCCACAGGTGAGGGGCTCAGTACGATAAGACTGCTCCCCATTTCAGATGCCAATTGCAGATAGATGGTTCCCACATTACCCAAACCTCTGTCTCACTTGGATTACAAGCTGGAAGGTCCCATGACCTTCTCCCTCTCGGATTTGATTCTTTGCTAGAATGGCTCGCAGAACGCAGAGAAACACTTATATTTACCAGTTTGTTAAAGACTATGATAAAGGATACAGATGAACAGCCAGATGAGATACATGGGGGAGGCCTGGGAAGGTCCCGAGCACAGGGGCTTCTGTCCCCATGGACCTGGGGTGTGTCACCCTCCCATTGTGGGTGTGTTCTCTCACCTGGAAGCTCCCCAAATCCCATATGATTGGGATTTTTATGGAGGCTTTCTCACATAGGCATGATTAATTATTAACTCTATTTCTAGTCCCTTTCCCATCTCAGGAGAATAGGGGGTAAGGCTAAAAACTCCAAGCTTCTAATCAGAGGTTGGTCTTTCTAGTGACCAGTTCCCATCCAGGATCCATCCAGGAGCTTCATTAGAACAAAAGACACTCCTATCACCCAGGAAATGCCAAGGGATTTAGTACCCTGTTTCAGGAACTGGGATCAAAGACAAATACTAGAACAAGAGATGCTCCTAACACACTTATCATTTAGGAAATCACAAAGGGCTTAGGAGCTGTGGGCCAGGAACCAGGTGTAGAGACTAATATATGTTTTCTATCACCTCACAGTACCTTACTTCCAATTTTACAATTTTTTTAGTGTCTATTTATTTTTGAGAGACAGAGAGACAGAGCATGAGTGGGAGAAGGACAGAGAGAGAGAGAAACACAGAATCCGAAGCAGGCTCCAGGCTCTGAGCTGTCAGCTCAAACGCACAAACCATGAGATCATGACCTGAGCCAAAGTCAGACACTTAACCAACTGAGCCATCCAGGTGCCCCCCAATTTTAAATCAATTTGCTAAATACCAAAAATGTTGACTAACTCACAATTCCCTAAAAATTCTAGTGGTCTACTATAAACGTTTTACATATTTTTTTAATTTCTGAATGCTTATTTATTTTTGGGAGTGAAAGAGAGACAGAGCACGAGTAGGGGAGGGGCAGAGAGAGAGAGGGAGACACAGAATCCAAAGCAGGCTCCAGGCTCTGAGCTGTCAGCACAGAGCCCAACGTGGGCTTGAACCCACGAACCACAAGATCATGACTTGAGGTGAGTCAGATGCTTAACTGACTGAGCCACCCAGGCACTCCATATGTATTTTTTATTTTTAAGTAATCTCTGCACCCACTGTGGGGCTCAAACTCACAACCCCGAGATGAAGAGTCACACGCTCTACCAACTGAGCCAGCCAGGTGCCTCTACTATAAACTTTTAAATGTTAATGATGACAATTTGAAATTATATAGGAGCAAAAAGCTTAACCGCAGGGCCAGATACATAATTTGTGGAACGCTTGATCTATTTTCCACCTTTCATCTCTAACAAGGAGAAGGATTATTGGACAGAAAATAGTAACAACAAGCATTCAGATGAGAGACCTAAAAACCCAAGCTGATGGACAGAGTATAAGAGAGCACCTGGGTTCACGACATCAGTGCAAACCTCCTATCCCCAACAAACTACATCCCAGTCTACTACTAGAAGAACGTGGTGATAAAATGAGCTGCTGTTCGTTATCTCTGAAGCATCTTAGAAAATGGGGCAACTATGGACAATGCAATTCTCAGACAGGCTATTGAACATCACTTTGAACACAGAGAGGAGGACCGGAAGCACTTAAACATGCCCAGGAGTCAGGAAGGACAAGTCAGAATTTAATGAATTAACAGCACTTCCCTTCCTTTTTTTTTTTTTTTTTTTTTTTTTTTAAACTCTGCCAGACTGGTAAATCAGAGAAAGCTGTCAAGGCTGTGCTTCAGCATTTTAGCTCAGTGTTTGACAGAGACATCCACCTGTGAACAAGATGGAGGCGTGTGGTCCAGATAACCACAAAGATAGATGCTAATGATGAATCCATGGCAACCCAGAGTCCCTAGACTCTGTCTTCAGCCTCGTCCTGTTCATTGAGTAGGTAGCTGAGTGTATAGCCAGCTTGCTTTTCCTCTGCCTTGATGACTGGGAGAGGTAGCCAGTATATTGAATGGCAGAGTGAAGATTCAATGGCCATAAAAACAAGCTAGATTTAACAATGAAAACTTTGAAATAAACGTAAAACACTACACTTACATTTTTTTAATGCATAAGAGTCAGAAAAACATGACTATGCTTCAAATCAAACATGATGGGTTTTACCTCTCGCTTTTATTTCTTCTCTTTCCCAAAACCTACCAAAACAGGGGTGGCTGGCTGGCTGGCTCAGTCAGTGGAGCATGTGACTCTTGATGTCAGGGTTGTAGGTTCGAGCCCCAAGTTGGGTGTAGAGATTACTTAAAATCTTTGGGAGGCGCCTGGGTGGTTCAGTCAGGTAAGCATCCAACTCCAGATTTTGTCTCAGGTCATGAGCTCACAGTTGGGAGATTGAGCCCCGCCTCGGGATCTGTGCTGACAGTGAGGAGCCTGCTTCGGATTCTCACTCTCCCTCTCCCTGCCCCTCTCCCACCTGTTCTCTCTCTCTATCTCTATCTCTCTCCCTCCTTCTCTCTCAAACTTAATAAATAAACATTTTAAAAATAAAATAAAATCTTTGGGGCGCCTAGGTGGCTCAGTCAGTTAAGTGTCCAACTCTTAATTTCAGCTCAAGTCATGATTTCCAGGTCCCTCAGATGCAGCCCTGAGTCAGGAAACAGCCAGAGCCTGCTTGGGACTCTCTCTCTCTCTCTCTCTCTCTTTCTCTCTCTCTCTCTCCCTGCCCGCCCCCCTGGCTTGTGCTCTCTTTCTCTCAAAATAAGTAAATACACTTTAAAAAATAAAATTAAATAAACTCTTTTTTAAAAACCTACCAAAACAGGGGCGCCTGGGTGGCTCAGTCGGTTAAGCCTCCGACTCCAGCTCAGGTCATGATCTCACAGTCCGTGAGTTCGAGCCCTGCATCGGGCTCTGTGCTGACGGCTCGGAGCCTGGAGCCTGCTTCAGATTCTGTGTCTCCCTCTCTCTGTCCCTCCCCCATTCATGCTCTGTCTCAAAAATAAATAAATATTTTTTTTTAACGTTTATTTATTTTTGAGACAGAGAGAGACAGAGCATGAACGGGGAGGGTCAGAGAGAGAGGGAGACACAGAATGGGAAGCAGGCTCCAGGCTCTGAGCCATCAGCCCAGAGCCCGATGCGGGGCTCGAACTCACGGACCGTGAGATCGTGACCTGAGCCGAAGTCGGATGCTCAACCGACAGAGCCACCCAGGCGCCCCAAAAATAAATAAATATTTTTTTAAAACTACCAAAACAACAGTAAATGAATGTTTTTTAATAAAAGCATAAATCCACAAGCACAAAAAGAAGGAGTGAGGAGAAAAAGAGGACAGGAGATATAGGCAGTAATTTGAAACATGGAAAGCAAAGGAACTGAATTGGCAGAACCCACCAATGAAGTGCCTGCAAAGAGGGGTACGCTGAGAATGAAGCAAATTCATGTCAAACAACCTTGAAAAGGCCTGGGACTAGGAGGCCCAGGTACTGCATAAGGGAGTGGGGAAACACAGACTCAAAAGTAGCATTATGTGGGGGGCCTGGGTGGCTCAGTTGGTTAAGCGACCGACTTCGGCTCAGGTCACGATCTCACGGTTGGGGAGTTCGAGCCCCACGTCGGGCTCTGTGCTGACAGCTCAGAGCCTGGAGCCTGCTTCGGATTCTGTGTCTCCCCGTCTCTCTGCCCCTCCCCTGCTCACGCTCTGTGTCTCTCTGTCTCTCAATAATAAATTAAAAACGTTAAAAAAATTTTTTTTAAAGTAGCATTATGTGAAAATATGAATAGAATGAACTGCTTGGTGAGAGTGTGTTTCCATTCACTGAAGTTAGAAAACCACTAATCAAATAATTTCTACAAGTGAGTGGGTGGCTCAGTCGGTTAAGCGACCAACTTCAGCTCAGGTCATGATCTCGTGGTTCTTGAGTTCGAGCTTTGCCTCAGGCTCTACACTGATGGTTCAGAGCCTGGAGCTTGCTTCAGATTCTGGCCCACCCTTTCTACCCCTCCCCCGTTCGTGCTCTGTCTCTGTCTCAAAAAATACAAAAATAAACGTTAAAAAAATTTTTTTTAATTGACTCAAGCTTTCAGTAGAAAGCTGGATCCTTTGAAGTCCCATCCTCTCTAAAATCCTGTGATTCTAATCATTCTTTAGACAGATCTCCAATAGATTTTAAGAACTTCTGCATGTAGTTCCTAGAAGTTTCCTATAGGTGGCACTGTGGTATAAGATAAAGCAGCAAACTACATCTACCTGATTCTTGCAGGCTACAGTAGAGTATGTATGGTAATACCTAATAACTAGAATGTTCCTGAGTTTTAAAAAATCAGAAGCCTGAACCCAAAAATCAGAAGCCTAGAACACCTAGGTACAATAGTTCCAGTGACCCATGAGCCCTTGTGTGCATTAATTTGTCATCCTTCTCAGCTCTGGCCATCTGCCTTATTTCATATCTCAGCTGTGACATTTCTTTTCAATCTATTTGTCACTCTTGGATAGTAAAAGAAATGATAATGCAAAGCATCTGCTCCTTCACGTCTCAAAAGTGTCCTGCCTCATCATGCGCACCTTTTACTTCCAAGCTCCTGGGAGTGTGGCGTCCTACAAGCTTTATCCCCCTTGATTTAAATAGTAATAATAATAAATAAGAACGGAAGAAAAAACTTCTTTTTCCAGCACAAGTTCAGACCAGGGTCTCAAATATGATTGCCTCTGGCTGTCTTCCCTTTCCACAGCTAAAGGAGA